GGGGGGTCAAATTGCCCCCCCCCAGCATATCCTGGCTTTCAAGTACCCCAGCAGAGATTTTTCTCCGGCCACAGTTGTTTTTGAAAAGTAAGACTATTACTAATCAACAGCGAATAGGCTGTTTGGTTTACCCTGAAATTACCCAAATAAGTGAACGGTCCCTTTAAGTTACCAGTATTAGCAATTCCTTTTTATTAACTTATTCAAGTTTAAATTGTATTTTCCTCTGGTTTTCTGAAAAATGTAGAATAAGATATTTTTATTTTTCAAAGCTAAAACTTTATCATTGGATGCAATGTCGAAAATATAAGGTTAATTGTACAATTTAAACACTTTCCAAGATAGTAAATGTGAAACAGAGGTTACAATAATACCGTTCTGAAGCGAACTCTCTTAAATAGAATAGTCACCAAAATTTACAATTTTCTTTATAGAAGATATCAGTCCATGATCTTGAACAAATCATATATTATTTTTTATAAAGCGTTATTTCAGTTTTAATAATTCAGAATTCCTTAAAATATTTGAATTTTGATCTGTCAACTGGAAAGGTTTGTCTATCTCCACTGTCAGATCAGATTTAGAGTTCAATGGAAACTAGAAGAATTTTCAGACCTTTCGTCTTTTTTTCTTGCTTTTCCATATAGTACATGTCTTCATCATTTACAGTAATTATATTATTTGCCTTTTATCCTTGATGTTTGTATCCCTCTAAAAATTTCAGCCCATTCGGTCCAGCCGTTTGGCCGGTATAGGGAACATATATACGAATGTCTTGTTTTTGTATTCATTTATAGTATTTTTTTTTTACACGTCTTATTATCTTAGATTATTCATTTTACACTTCTTAATATCTTAGATTATTCATCTTACATGTCTTATTATCTTAGATTATTCATCTTACCCGTCTTATTTTCTTAGATTATTCATTTTACACGTCTTATTTTCTTAGACTATTCATCTTACACGTCTTATTATATTAGATTATTCATCTTAACCGTCTTATTTTCTTAGATTATTCATCTTACCCGTCTTATTATCTTAGATTATTCATCTTACACGTCTTATTATCTTAGATTATTCATCTTACACGTCTTATTATCTAAGATTATTCATCTAACCCGTCTTATTATCTTAGATTATTCATCTTACCCGTCTAATTTTCTCAGATTATTTATCTTACATATCTTATATTCTTAGATTATTCATCTTACCCGTCTTATTTTCTTAGATTATTCATCTTACACGTCTTATTATCTTAGATTATTCATCTTACACGTCTTATTATCTTAGATTATTCATCTTACACGTCTTATTATCATAGATTATTCATCTTACACGTCTTTTTATCTTAGATTATTCATATTACACGTCTTATTATCTTTGATTATTCATCTTACACGTCAAAATTATCTTTTAGTTTTCATCTTACACGTCTTATTATCTTAGATTATTCATCTTACTCGTCTTATTATCTTTGATTATTCATCTTAAACGTCTTATTTTCTTAGACTATTCATCTTACACGTCTTATTATCTTAGATTATTCATCTTACATGTCTTATTTTTTTAGATTATTCATCTTACACGTCTTATTATCGTTTAGTTTTCATCGTTTTTCATAATATCTTTTAGTATTCATTGTACACGTCATGCTATCTTTTAGTATTCATTGTAAACGTCATAATATCTTTCAGTATTCATTGTAAACATCATAATATCTTTCAGTATTCATTGTAAACGTCATAATATCTTTCAGTATTCATTGTAAACGTCATAATATCTCTTAGTATTCTTATAAAATGTCATAATATCTTTTAGTATTCGTATAAAATGTCATATTTTCTTTAAGTATTCATCTTGTATGTCTATGTTACCTGGACCTAAGATGAAAGCCGTTGCACTGATAGGAATAACAATAAGGCCTGTAGGAGCATAAAAACATTTTTACAATTTATTCACAATTTGCGGTTAGAACAATGATGGCCGTGGAAAATATAACGCGATTAATAAAACAGCCAAAAATATAAATACCAAAAGAATAACCATAGTTTGACCAGATATATAAGTGCTAAACATATAACCAGCAAAAATATAACCATAGTTTGACCAAAAATATAACTAGCCAAAAAATAATATTTTTTTACCATGATTATTATCTTTTTTTTAACTAGACAGAACTGCAAACTAGACAGAACTGCAAACTAGACAGAACTGCAAACTATACAGAACTGCAAACTAAACAGAACTGCAAACTAGACAGAATGAGATAGTAAATTAATGCGACATTACTGCTACAACTTTGTGACCTCTAGTTTTAATTTTATGCACAAGTATAAAAATTATTTGGTTTCATGTAAACAATTCTAATCTTTGTTCTTCTCAATAACTCTTTAATTTTATAAGTTATGATTAAAACATAAAAGATTTATATTTTTGACGTGCAATTAATGATTAAAATTTACTTTAACTTACCGTGATATGAATGTTTCTATGTAGTATTGAAAAATCTTAAATATAAATCTTATATATTTATTAAATTTATATATAAGATACATTAACAACCAGTATTAAGCAGGATTTCGTTGTGTTTCAATGATTTGAAAGGAATTGTGACTTTGCCACAAACTCAATTTCTAATGTTTGCAACAAGGTGGTGAATACATAATTTCTTTGCAGTATTTTAGGATATCTATCTGGATATATATCAGCATCTATCCGCATGTATGTTGATATATTTGTATATACCTGGATATACCTGAATATATCTGAATATATCTGGATATATCTGGATATATCTGGATATACCTGGATATATCTGTATATACCTGGATATATCTGGATATACCTGGATATACCTGGATATATCTGGATATATCAGGATATATCTGAATATATCTGAATATATCTGGATATATCTGGATATACCTGGATATCTGAATATATCTGAATATATCTGGATATATCTGGATATATCTGTATATATCTGGATATACCTGGATATACCTGGATATATCTGAAAATATCTGAATATATCTGGATATACCTGGATATACCTGGATATATCTGTATATAACTGGATATATCTGTATATACCTGGATATATCTGGATATACCTGGATATACCTAGATATACCTGGATATATCTGCATATATCTGGATAAATCTGAATATATCTGGATATATCTGTATATATCTGTATATACCTGTTAAAATACTGCTTTAATGCCAGAAATAATGTTTTTATGCTCCGTTCCTACAATAAGATCTGCAATCGCCAGACTCATGATAAACATATTTGACACCTAAACATTTAAACAGGGATTGCAACTTTTGTTTTATTAATCCTTTAAACTAAAATTCCCGCGTTTAGCGATATCTCATGCAAAAGCTTTTGCTTCTAAGCATATGTGAAAACCTTTTAAAGGATTACATTATTGTAATAAGAGCTGAAACAGGCTTACAGAGCTATATCAGAATACAGAGAATTTGATAAAGAGGAAATGAATATTCTCCACATACTATAATTTTCTATTTCCTATTTATTTGCATCTTAATGACGTATACCTTTGATATTGTAAAGTTTTACTGTTTGCTCTAACAAATAATTCACACATATCTACATATATTAAAATAAAAAATGTCTACGACATCAGGTTGCAAAGATATAGGAAAATAGAAAATTGTATCAATCTGTAATTTAGTTTTAGTGAACATCAAATAAAATTTTCTTAAAGCCGTATCTTTGCAACCTGATGGTGTAAACCTGTGATGCTTTGAAATATCAAAAGTCGACGAAACTGGTTTAAGGGGATAAGAAAAATTAAAGTTTGTTGAAAGAAAAAGAAAAATTAAAGTTTGTTGCATGCAAGAAATTTATCAGGAATCGATATGATCCTTTTCTTTTAAGTGAATTTATAGTTTTAAGGATTTATTAGAGTTAAATTGGTCTCAAAATGTAAGAGACTTTTTTTAAAATGTTTTAGAACAATTAAAAGTTTTTTATATTGTTTTCTTCAACTTTTCTATTGTACCGTGATCCTCAGAATAAAGTGGAATAAATAGACAGCTAAATGATAATACCGAAATACAAAAATCGTGTACATTGAAACTGTTGTGCTGGGAAACTTGAAGGTGTAAATATTTATTATTTCGTGCCATCAAGGATTTAGATTTATTATAAATAAAACAAGGATGAAAATTCTGTCAGTGTTCTGTCGCATTGCGCATTACTTTTCAAATTTAACTAAGTAAAACTTTAATATTTGTCCCTGAAGGCTAGATGCTTTTAGGAAAAATAAACATGCAGTAGGGGGCGATAACGTCCTGTGTGTGAGTCTGTACCAAAAGAGTTTGTGTAAGGAATACCGAACCGAAGGCCTGTACTGTAGGTATATACAGTACATAAGAATCTCGGCATTTGTACAGTCTAGGAGAGTACATTTGTTTATTGTTAATTGTTTACTTAAAAATAAGTTTAGTATACATGTAATATATTATTTACATATTTAAGTCAACACTATAAAACCAAATTTTCATTAAAAGAATATAATTTGATTAAAGTTGACAGTAAACTACTCATTATTATTTAAGTTATTCAAGTTTAATTATGATTGACTACACTGTTCTGCAACTTCCTTGACGGTAGTCATGTTGTGTGTCTGTACCAAAAAAGTGTGTGTAAAAAATACCGAACTCGTCTGCAACATGCCAGACCAGCGCCATTTCCTTTCCCTATATTCCTATTCCCTGCATGCAATATAGTGGGGTCTATATAACTTTGGACTAAGAAGATGACAGTGATTTCTGTCTAAATGAACATAAAACAACACAGACCCATTTCACGATTAAGAAGTTAATATTCAAGCTGCTTGGGAAACTATACGTTATATACAAATAACATGGCTTAATGGAATTGAGTCTTTGTCACAAACCTAAATTTTCTAATCCATACATCTTGACATAATGATAGAGTAAACTTTTGATATTTCAAACGTAGATCATTTGATCCAACATAATTTATAGTTTGAAATATCTAAGATAACCAAAATTGGGTTGCAAAGATATAGGTATTAGAAAATAAATTCCTTTGTCCACAATTTTAAAAGTCCCGTGCAAATAAATGATGTTAGTTACTTTCCCAAAGGCATTTTCCCAAACGGCAATCTCCCAAGGGTATTTTCAAAAGTGGCAACTTCCCAAATGTGCAACTTACCCAAGTGGCAACTTCCCGAGTCTGTCCTAGCCTTAGCGCTCGGCCCCTATTGTAGCCTGCGGCGTCTCAGACGGTCTAACCTTACCTTTGAGAAGTTGCCACTTGAGATATTGTCCCTTAGAAAGTCGCCCTGGGGAAAATGGCTTTGGGAAAATACGCCAAATACATAAACCCAGTCTTTCGTTAATTTTTAAACTTTAATTATTACTTGATTTCATGTTCATTGTTAAATTCTAAACTATATTATCATTAGTTTCTAGAAAAAAAATGTTTCTCTTGAAAATCTGGGAATTATGGGCCAACTACAGGAAGACCCAAAAAGAATATATGACTTGAAAGACAAAACTGTACTGATAGGGTTGTTAATCGTTTTGGAAAACGATCGTTTTTTGTTTCGTTATTCAATTGTTTTTTAAAACGACCCACTTCTGTTGTCAGTTTCTTTTGTTAACTCTCATTATGTTTACCCAGCTCAATGATAACACTTACCGTCTGTAGACGCCTCTCTGTGCGTATAGCATGAAGTACAAGGCCGTTTCCAACAGTTGTTAGAAAACTAATAATATAGAGGACCAATCCGACCACCCATCTTCCATACCCAGCATTCTTAATAATAATAATAATAATGATAACAATTAGTACAGTACAGTACAGTACAGTACAGTACAGTACAGTATAGTACAGTACAGTATAGTACAGTACAGTACAGTACAGTACTGGAAACACTGAAATGCAGTGATTTACTATACATTAAAGTACAATGCAGAACTGTGTACTGCATTACAGTACACTAAAAGGCTGTACATATAAGTTTATGTACTGTAGATCGAATACCTGGTAAAGGTTTAGATAAAAAGATATCCCTGATTCTTTACTGCTAGTGTTGGAAAACATATTCTCAGAATCACTTCAAGAAAATAATATTATAATTTAATGTAATAATTATAACTTAAAGATAATAATATTATAATTTAATGTAATAATTATAACTTAAAGATAATAATATTATAATTTAATGAAATAATCATAACTTAAAGATAATAATATTATAATTTAATGAAATAATCATAACTTAAAGATAAAGATACTATAATTTAATGAAATAATCATAACTTCAAAAAATAATATTATAATTTAATGTAATAATTATAACTTAAAGATATTGATATTATAATTTAATGTAATAATTATAACTTAAAGATAATAATATTATAATTTAATGAAATAATTATAACTTAAAGATAATAATATTATAATTTAATGAAATAATCATAACTTAAAGATAATAATATTATAATATTTAATGTAATAATCATAACTTAAAGATAATGATATTATAATTTAATGTAATAATCATAACTAAAAGATAATGATATTATAATTTATATGAAATTTGAAGAAAAAGCTATTGGAAAAAAGCGTTTTTTTAAATGTTTATGAAAGCGGAAAAAACGTCTACTTTTTGTTAAAAAGCGTTTGTTGGTATGTATGTGACAGTACTATGTGGAAAATTGATATCTCTTAAGTTCTTTAATTGGATCTTTGCATGATATTAATACAATAATTTTTCTTTCAACACAGAGTGTTAAAGTATAAAGAGCTATACGTACATATTTCTCTGGTTACTTTGAGAAATTTATTCGTTTTCATATTATAACGAATATTGTATCACCATTAATTTCTTCTGAAGGTTTGAAAACATAGTATACTAGCGATCTTGAAGTGTTTGATACTCTCTGATTGAATAAATGAAAGAATAAAACGTAATTTGGGGTGGAGGGGGGGGGGGACAATGATAGAAACACACGATATATTTATTTTATTTTTCTAGGGATATTTCTTTATTTCATTCAAAGTAAATTGTCCTTATCTTTTACAAAGAATGAAAAAGGAAAACATATTTACAAATAATATAAAACTCAAAATAATATTTTGTAGAATTTACCTAGATAAATGCAGGGGCTATTTCTTTTATTATATCTATAGATATTTTTGAAGCGTTTTTTGGTGACAAATATCTTTCTAATTTAAACAAGTTTAAGAAGATCAAAAAGTGTAAATATTAAAGGGAGTGACCGGCTATGTAAGGTAGTTGAACTGAGTATGCAGTGTTGTGGAAAACTTCTTTCGGATTATTTTATGTCATATTAAACTTTTTAAAGATCTGTAAATCCTGAGTTTAAGCGCAAATTCAACATTCAAAACTACTACTTTGGGGGTGGATATGTTTTCAGAATTAGTTTTTTAAATTATTAAATAACGACAACGAAAAATAAAGTAAAATTATTCAGTAATCTAATTAGATGGTTAGGAACATATTTCTCAAAGTAAATTTGTCAATAAATCGATGCTAAAATTGATTATTTCGTTTTCATTATTATATTGAATTTCTTATTTTCTTTGAATTTATTCGCAGATTTCTTTAAATTCTTCAAATGTCGTCTTCTCAATAATAATTCTAGAAAATCAGCAAAAAATAGTTGTGAGTAATTAGAAACCAGAATAATGAGAAAATAGAAACTAATAATTGAACAAGATTACTTATTTTCGATGATAAGATTAATTTTTAATTTCGCAACATGTTCCTATACATGATGTCTGTAGTTTATTGTAGAACTTTTTTACATTATGTCGTCGTTAAAAACTAATTCTGAAAACGTATCCACCCCTACATAGCCGGTCACTCCCTTTAAAGAATTGTTTTAAATAATTTTTTTGGAAAATTACATCTTAATATTCATAAAACTTCGAAATTTTAAATTAAAGGTGCTCTATAAGAATCTGGAAACAAATATTTTTGTAGTAGTAAAAATTTTAATTTGGAGCAAGATTTTTCTCCGACCAGAGATATTATCAAAACTATTTTTTTAAACATTTATCAAAACGATTTTTTTTGCCAGGGCATACATTTTGCATACATTTTGCATACAATTTGAAATGGGTAAAACATCAGAGATTGTTGTGGCGCCAATTCAAAATCATATAATCTTGAATGTTTAACAACAAACCTCAAACCTCAAATAACACCATGCAACACCATTTTTTCACTTAACTGAGCCAAAAAAATGATCTTTTTTCTCAGAGCAACCGGAAAATAAGACAGATATCGTTTTTAAACCCATGGAAAACCGTGTTCATTTATTAAGGTAAGATGATTTTGTTTCACTAGGCTTACAGGGTGCTTCACGCCCATCTTTAACTTTTAATTGGCTTTGTTATGATTTATTTTGTAGAGTTTGAAAATTCTAGATTTTTTAAACGCAAATTAGTTTCAATCAATTCTTTCCCTCCATAAACCTCTCCTGAGATCGTGTAAGATCCCCCAACATTTTTTACATCGTATGAAAAGATTTTGGGATTAAAAATTAGAGTTTCGGACAAGTGAACAGTTTCTTCATTAAATAGGCTCAGAGTTTGAGCTTACTATCACTCAGCTCAGAGTTTTTATATCCTTTAATCCCTAAATTAGTTCGCGCTTCTGCTTTTACACTATCACATTATCAATTCTGTAGTATAGAATAGAGGTGGATAATTATAAACAGAGACACGTAGTTTAGGGAGTGTAAGCGTAATTTCAAGTGACCCTCCATGCAAAGATTGCTATGACTGATTTACAACTACAACGGTAGCCTAGAAACCTTTATCTGAAGTGGAAGATACAGTCGTTTTTCTGACACGAAAACGGGTTTATTTCTGTGAGTTTCTCCATTGCCTCATGTGAACAAGAAATGCGCAAGTAACTTTGGGAGAGAAACCGAAAATGAAAATAAACAATTTAAACATCTTTGCTCACTTTACATTAGGCTAAGAGTCTAAGGAATTAATATTTATATTATTACTTTCCTGGTGTCATTCAGCCAGTCAAGTAAACACAGCAAATCCTCTAAAAATACAAATTTTTTCCTACCCAGTTTTGAAATGTTCACAGATCTTTATAATTATCATAGATTAAATACACTAGATGTCGTCTTTTCAAGATTTAGGAATTTCTCGTTCATAACAAGGAGTGACGCATATGCTCCGTATTCTCTCTCTCTCTGCCTTGTTAATTGAACGCCACAATATTTAAAGACGCCATCTAGTGTCCTATCTGTTATTGTTAATTAATCTATGATAATTACGAAAAATATTTTGACCAATAAAATCAGACGACCTTACAATCATCTTTGGTTTATAAAGTTTATGGCAGCCATTTGTTAATCTAATTTTACAAATAAGAAACATCAAACGATAATCAAAAATAGCCCCAGGTCTTCCATTTCCAAAATGTGGTCTGCCTTATTTGTGCTTTCAAAATCAATAAAGAAATGAATGATTATAATTTTTTTTAGTTTTATTAAAGAAAATTTAATTCAACCAAAATTCTTCATTTTTATGGTAATTTTTAAAGTTTCAATATGTTTTTTATAAATTATTTGAAAATAATTTATAGTTTTTATATTTTTCAGTTCTTTTTTGGTCGTTTTTGGTGACAATTGTTAGCAAGAAAAGTTCGTTTTTTTTCTATCCAAAACATGTTTGTTCTGCGTTTGCTAAATATTTTAATGAAGTGGTAGATGCCTGAACTATGCTCTGAAATACACTGACCAAAGATATAGTGGGTTTTATTTGAGAGGGGATCGTTAATCGCAAAACCCGTTCATTAATTTCATTACCCCGTTACAGGCGTCTAGTACTACTTGTTTTTATTGTATCTTTACTTTAATATTAACTTATGTCACCTGAACAATTGTTCTTTATAAAGCTTTGTTCAAACATATTTTCTGAAAAAATGGAAATTATACTTGTTTAATAATATAAAAATATCAAAAATATCATATATTTATGTCAAAATGTCAACTTGTCAAATTTTGATTTTTAAAACAATATGAATTGCTAACTTTGTGAAAATATATACTTTATGAAACCAATGCTTACAGCTCTTTATATATTTAAAATTTATAAAACATATCTTCTATGTCTGTATATATTTAAAATCTATAAAACATATTTGCTATCTCTGTATATATTTAAAATCTATGAAACATATCTGAAAGTTATGTATATATTTAAACACTATGAAATAAATCTGCTAGCTCTGTATATGTTTAAACTCTATTTATCATCTTTACTCTAAAATATCCCAGATGTATGCTAGCTCTATATATATATTAAACTCTATGAGCCGCGTATAACTCTATATATGTTTAAACTCTATGAGCACCGTGTTTCCTCTAAAATATCCCAGATGTATGCTAGCTCTATATATATATTAAACTCTATGAGCCGTGCATACCTCTATATATATTTAAACTCTATGAGCACCATGTTTACTCTAAAATATCCTGGATACCGAAGAAACAATAATATAAGGATTATCCTCCAAGAATCATATCCCTTTCCTCTCATTAATAATTAATTAGATTTGAATAATATTATTCTTAGAATTCCCGTTCTCTCTTCCTGTACTTTTCATCACAGACTTATGCATTATCTATTTTCTTTTACAATTCTAAACAGCCACCAAGCGAATAATTTAGAGAAAAAAAACATTTTAGAATTCACAAATTTAAAAAAAAATAATTTTACAATGTTTTATGAACGAAAAAAAGGCAGATCTCAATCTGTTGTAATTTAAAATTTGTGTTCAAATCATTTTTCTAAAGACAAACCCAACGGTCAAAGGGACTGTAGGCATAATTTCAATTAACCCTCCAGTAGTAGATTTGCGTGTCTGATTCACAATTGCACCCTTAGACTGATGTATGGTTTTGTTATTTTTCATAAATAAATGATTATTTTACTTCAAAAAAAGGATCAATGTTATATATTGGTTGGTTGGTTATATATATCAACACAGGGCTACAGTGCTTCAATGCCACACAAGGACACAAGCCTAGCTATCCAACAAGCTATATATCGAT